TTGGTTTTATTTCAAATTTCTCTCGCAGACGGTCCGGGGCTCTGCAGTCTTGTGTTCAGTACGTTTTCTCTATGTCCTCAATACGACCCTTCTACGTCCATGGCGTTTCCACTGCGACTGTATTGCGTCCCCAAGGCGACCCCACGGCGATCATCGGCGACCCAGCTGCGACTGTGCTGTGTTCTCTGCGTCATTACGGCGATTCTACGACGACTATTGCGTTTGTCCGGCGACTGTCCTGCGACTGTACGACGACCTTACTACGTTCTTGCTACGTCTATAAAAACAATACTTTTTACCAGTAAATTTCATTCTGAGTCTGACCTTACGGCGTCCTTAGTGCGAGTGTACTACGTCTATTGCGTTCTTATTGCGTCCTTACTACGATGCTGCTGCGACTATGGCGACTCCACTGCGATCCCAGGGCGACCTAACCAGGACTCAGCAAGAACGCAGAGTTTCTGCGACTGTTTTGTGCATGTTCAAAATAGTCGCCGACGGTCTGCGACCTTGTGCGTCCTTGGGTTCCTCGCTACGACCTCGCTGCGTCCCTGCTGCGTCCATGGCGACTGTGCTGCGTCCTGGGTCGTAGCAAGGTCGCAGTAAGGACGCAGTAAGGTCGCGAGGTATGTGTGAGGGCAGTATAATGGAAGTCCTGGAAGGATAACACTGTATTTATTATTCGTGAAACTTGAAATCACTTCACTTTTACAAGAACTTTGCAGCAATTTAGAACTTTACAGAACTTTTCGTTACAGCACTGCTGATCAAGGTGGGACATGGTTCATATCAAAAGTAATAAATCATGTACATGTATGCATTACAAATAATATTTCAAGTCACAAAATTTTTCTTCAGATAATTTGTGTCATAAACAAAATGCCATTAAGAAGTTATAAGAGTTACATAATCCCATAAAACAAGAGGCCCTATTGGATCTGTATCACTTGACTGAGTAAATTAATGGAAAAGGGCAGGAACTTTCTTGCCTTGATAAAAAGACAGACATTATAGACAGGGTGACTTAGTGTGTTGATCGTTTACATTCATATGTATATTATGTATATTGTAATTGGCACTGAAATCTCTCTTGATCACACTGGCCTGGACTTTATGTAAGTTGTAAGTTGTCAAGAGATTGAGTTGTATCCTGCTGATTATATGTATACAATAATGTATATTGGCAAAGAATTTGAAAAATTCACAACACCTAACACTGAGCACCACATACATGTGAATATATCTACCTGTAAAATAACATTTAACTGTTTCAACCAAAAATGTTACTCAGTCATCAATATAATTTCAAGATTACAAAGGATGCATTATCAATTAAAAGGTTTTTAAAAGTAAGTTGAATAATTAATGAATAATGACTTATGGTAGGAAGTATCAATACAACACGAAGCTCCAGTATTAATTGACAGAAGTAACAAGTATGTATACATGTAGAACTGTATATTTTAAAGTGGCAAGTCATGCTTTAGGAAGAAAATTGTCAACTTTCTGAATTATAGTATCAATCTTGAATGTCTTTTGTTCTGACTTTAAGAGAGACACTTGTATATGAGTCACTGTAAATTGCCTGAGGGATAAATACCTGATTTGCAGGAGCAATTCTGAGCGTCTGTGACCTTATGGCATGTACGATTGTACATGTACGATTGACTCAATGACAATCAATAATGCCCTACCCTGAAATAACTTGACAAGGCCATTTTCAATCCATCCATTTGCAAATCGGTGTTCCCTAGGGGGGGAGGAAGGGTACTGAAAACTTTTATATGCAATATATTTTCTTTAAAAAAGTATGCATTAGATCTACATTTTGTTTGTTTTTTGGTTGTTGTTTTTTTTCTCCAAAAATTGGCTCATTTACTGTGTAGCAGGCAATATAAAATATAATCATTCGGTGTGGGAACACTAAGTGCCACTCTTCAAGAAAAATATCCAGTTATTAATAATGCGTAATACGAATTGTTTTAATCGTATTCCAAATTCCAAATAAGTTGAAAAACTTAGCACACAACACTAGGACTGCTAGATATATACAATATATAATGAAGTCTTTGTCTCTGACGATTTGATGAATCAAACCAAAAACTTGAATAGGTATGTACACATGTATGATGTAAAATATAGTTATAATATCAATTTATCAATATACAATGTAATTAAATGTAAAAATGAAGAAAACTTAGAATAAACATTTACAAATACTTTGACAATCAATAGAAAGTAAACAATTGTTGTGGCTATAGTGTGACTACCATTATCATCGTAGGTAGTGAAACTGTTTGTCAAGATCTTTAAAAAATCCCAAACAAACATGATTGTACGAAGTCACACTACATTGTTAAAAAAAAAACAGAAACAAAAATAAACAATAAGCTAATTTATAAATGAAGTCAGAACAAAGAAATGTAACTGATTTGAATTCTGTTTGCAAAATTTATCGCTGCAAAACCTTGCTATTGCAAAACATTGATATTTATAGAATAAAGAACATAAATCAGTTTCGGACCATTACAGATTGTTTTGAATGTGTATACTACAGGTCTATCACTTGGAATTGGAATTGGTTTCAGAACAACATCAGATATGTATTTTTAGCACCAACTGGTGAAAAAAGCCAACTAGTATATGCATGTCTTTGCTTAATTGAAGATCATGATATTAACGCACTCTGGCACCTGCACTACTTGAGCATGAATATAATATTTTCATTCAAGGAAGATGATGTTTTTAAATAGGATCACACTAACAGATTTAGACTTAAGATAAAAACCATAGAAAAAAGTTTTTGTCTGAAGTTTCAAATTTTCTAAGGTTGAATTACTGGCTTTTCATTTTTATCTGAGGTAACCGATGTGTCAACAAAAACAGCCAATTTGGCCAAGGGTTGAGGGGGATATTTTAATTTACAGGCTGAAAATACAACTGATTTTAACAGCAATTCAACCTATGATCATTGATGTGGATCACCAATCTGTTAATAATGAAAACCCTGGGCTGAAGTAAAAACAACAGACAAATGACTTGAACTGCACTCAGATGGTCTGTTATCCCTGTTAATGAAACTGACTGCACACTAAATGCAGGTGCCAAAATGCTATTACATACACCAGGGTGTTCACTAGCAATGAAATCATGAGGGTCATTTTGACTAGGTTTAACCAACTACAAGACCAAATCCCCATGTCAGATTTTAACAAAATTTGACCCTCCAGTTAAAATTCCACGCATTCAAATTAAATATTATCAAAATATAATTTTCAAAATGTTTACACTTCAATCGCCTATTGAATGGGCCCATTACTTTTTATGTCCACTCGCTAAGCTCAATAGGGAGATCATCGGGTTTGTAATCAAGGGGTCCCTGGTGTGATCCTCAGGCAAGTTGATATTTCTCTGTGACAATTAATTTAATGTTAAACATTGAGTATAATGGTCCTTTGTCTAAGACTCTTTCACAACTCATTCAGAAATCATGTGGGTTAGTAATTGGCAGGATTTTCATTTTTTTGGCAGGATTTTCATTTTTATCTGAGGCAACAGATGTACCAACAAAAACAACCGGTTTGGGCATCATTTGGCCATGGGTCAAGGAGGATATTTTAAAAACTTAATCTATAGGCTGAAAACATAACCGATTTTAACTGCATTTCAACTGATGATATGGATCGCCATTTAACAGCATCTCAACCAATGATATGGATCGCCAATCTGTTATTTATAATGAAAACCTTGAACTGGTCGCTTGTGCAGAATGACAATTACTGGTTAGTTATCAAGTAAAGCTAGTAGGCAGACATGCCAAGATATGTCCAAAGATGTCTTAAAATCTGCATTAAAACTAGAAAACAAATTTTATGAGACTGATTGAAACATAAAACAGTGGTGCATCATCCTATTTCCTTAATTGAGAAATGCCCTAGAGTTGTTAAGACATTCAAGTTTCTTTTGTAAAATAGCATCAAGAAGATACATTTTTATAATCAGTATATTCTATAAATTTGACAGTGTAAACTGGTCTACAAAAATCATTTAAATCTGTGACACTGCTGATGTATAATTTCAATAAAACATGAAGGGGTTTTCAAAATGACAAGGTAAATTCCCTGCAAACTGTTATGGCAGTAGCTACTTTTTGTATTTGTCTTACATTGACAATCGTTTGTGGGATTTCTGGCTGGGACTTATACCTTTAACTTACATACCCACAATTCAGGAACATAGAGTGAGTACTTAGTCATTTAAATTAGTCTCAATATTTCGACTTCTAGAAACAAACTGATATATATTACTGTCACGGTTCAAGACTGTTCACTTAATAGGGGAGAAGATGTGTAAGCAGCCGGATAGCTCAGTCGGTAGAGCCGCAGAACGGTATTCAGAGGGTCCCGGGTCCGAGTCCAGGTCAGGCTGCACATTTTTTTCACCCTGTGACATTTGGCGCCCATCATGGGACTGTGACTGCATCTAGCTCAGAGTTCAATTAGCATTGCTCTGTAGCTTTGTGAAATTCGAGGACGAATTTCAATATTGCGGTGAAGTATGTCACGGTTCAGAACTGTTCACTTAATAGGGGAGAAGATGTGTAAGCGGCCGGATAGCTCAGTCGGTAAGACTAAGAGCCGTGGAATGGTATTCAGAGGGTCCAGGGTTCGAGTCCCGGTCAGGCTGGACATTTTTCTCACCCTGTGACATTACATAGATGTTGGTCTTTACATGTAGGTCGACTATCATCTATTATTCTATATAATAGAAAGCCCTGGTGCACAATTTGTTGGGCTACATTTTTATCTGTAGACATTCTTGCTTAATGTGCACCTGGGATTATATTTCGTTCAAACATAAGCTAATACATTTATCTAGTTTCATTGAAAGCACAAGATGACAACAATTAATAATCAATATATTCTTAGGAATGATTTGTCTTGGAAATTCTCCCTCCTGTAGGATTAATTTGACGTGGTATTTTGTACACTGACACTCACCTAATTTCTGATTAAAGATCTTATCAAACGTCACTTCTCCCATCTTCATCAAATGTTTATGCATAACACTCCTTACACTGAAATTAAAATGATTCAAAATCAATGACAAATAGCAACTAATTAACCACAGAAATGACCGGAAAAAGAATATTTATCGCGATTTAATAAACCGGTGTAATAGTAAAAATCTCATCATAAATGTCAAAATTGCAGGACCAAGCTAAGTGATTAATGCAATATGAAAGAAGATCAAAATGTGTTCATTCCCTATACCTGGGATCTGGAAGCACTATTTTCTTGCTTGCACGGGCGGCTGGAGTAGATTTACTCTTCTCCATCGCCATTAAATAGCTCACATCCGCGAGTACTGCCTCGAGATCCGCCATTTTGGACGAATTTTTCCTGTACCCTAGATGAAAATAAATCCGCCCTGTGGGGCTCTCTTTTATCCACAGACAGCCCCTTTTTGTCTCTACACACAATTATGATCCATATCTAGCGAATGTAATCCAAAAAATGATTTAAAACACTAAAGCACAATTAAAATACCGGGTTTAAAAATCCAAAACAAACGGTTATTAGCTTCCGTGTAATGGATGCAAATGTATTAATATATGTACTAAAGGATAGTGGTGGAATACTCAGCGTTCATTGGTCTATTTCGGTACAGAGAATATTTCGATCAATTTTGCAGCATCCTCAGTTCCACGGTTTATACCAATATTGCTATTTTGCTGTGTACAAACATTTTGATGGAATGTTTACGCTAGATTCTTGTACATAGTGTTCACAAAATGACCTAATTAACAGAATAGTACAATTGACCATAGTAGATTTGTACATGTATTATAAATACATTAAAAATGAATCCAAGTTAATCTATTGAAAAAATCAAGAACATATCATTAGGACTGGGCGCGACGCATATGCGATCCAATACGCAATAGTCGAATGTTGATTTAACTAATAACTTCATATAGCTCTAATTGGTATTGACAAATTGATCAAAAACTTATTAATCGGATTTTTATTTTATTTTGCTGTGTGTAATCTAACCGTTGCTAATGGAATTTCTCGGCAAAGACCAATTAACTTATTGGAATAATTGCTGTTGTCACATTTACATTTAGAGTCGTCTAAAATAACTGCATGGAAATGTTGCAGAGCGGAATTCGCAGTGGGAAAAATGTCCATGTCTTTTGTGGGATGAATCTATATGCATAGTGTGGCCTAATTTAACTGACCACAGCTTTAATTAAAGCCGTGAACCAAGTGCTTATTTTCCAGTGTTCTATATATTAAAATATTTTCATTGTTTAATCGACACAGCGTTGCACACACACAAAATAATAATGAAACATCAAAGGCATGTCCCCTAAACTTAAGTATTAACATTACAAAATGTACTGTACGGGTCCAAATTTGTGACGTGACGTTGTTAGTAACGTTACTTGTAATACAAACTATATTAATGTTACCAAATATTAATATACTTTTTTTTAATATACTTACCGAAAATAACTTCATTTACTGCCAGATCGACCAGTAGAATTGTTCTCAGATTTCAATAAAGTTATAACCGTTTTGCATTGCTTTTGAGACACGAGCATAGATAATATTTAAGTATGTTTTTATTTTTCTGGGGTCATCGATCCTTGTGGATAGAAAACCGATAGCCGGTGCTATAGAGCGTGAAAGAACGCATTGCGTCGGGCTTTTCATTATCTCTCTCAAACTCAATATGATAGAGTCGTCTACGATTTTCAACTATTTCTTTTTGTTTTCAGTGCTCTCCAGGGACCCCTTCCAGAAGTTTTTTGTATATTTGCTATAAATAAATGAGAGGTAGATCGGTAGGTAGAAAGATATATCCAGACCAAAAAAGCGAATGTTTCAATTAGACGCATCAATTTTTTCTTTGTATCAATAAAACTTAATTTAAGCTGTTTTGAAAATAAATCATATTTCAACGTTTTTTTTGTTCAAATGACAAGTATATTTGCTTGGATTGACAATTATACAATTTATTTGGATTTTAACGCTAATCTCCACGCCCCAAGTGTTTGTTCTGTAGAGATGTTCCCAAAAGATTACTTTTACTTACGAATTACCATTTGACTCTTTCAAGTCAAGTTTCTTATAAATCATTATAAACAGAACAAAAAATCGTAAATATTTAAAACGAAAAGAAGATAAATGTATACCTTACTGGTATACTAAAACAAACGGCCGACATTTATTTTGCAACTGTATAATTGAAATTAACCTCGTAAACCACAACATTAAGGGTAAAAAATATTTGGAATAATATTTCTTTATAAAAAAAAATGTATTGTTATTTGGTCTCGCCGGTTATTTGTATTTCCCTACAGAACAATAGATACTGGATTTAGACAAACATGTAACTAACTTGGAAAAGGCGGAATACAAGTTAACGTACGGGTGATCTTGTCATTGTACACATTTAGCCGACTTCACGCTTCCAACAGCGCATTTTACTATTGTGCTTGAAGCTCTATACCGGCGGATTTCTAAAATTTGCGATAAAGTAAATGTCACGTGAGTATCTGGACCGTTCTCCACACAGAAATTTCCCGCTGATTCTTGTTACCTCAGAAAAATTGATCGCTCACGCGGACAATCGTGCAGAGCTCGTACATCCACCCCATCCTCATTTATTTTCCGCCTCGAACATTTCCAACCAACGTTATAATACTTTACACTAGAGATTTACTTTGAAACACTTTTAGAGTTATATTTCAATCGTCTACCTCCATTAGAAAACATATCTTATATTCCAATGGGATTGATATCAAAGTTGAGCACTAAGGGCGAAATATTATCTTTTAGGTGCATGCGAGTAAACAGGCGATGCTATAAAGTTCTCATAACCTAAAGCATTCCTGATTGAGCACATCCAATCTTTACTTAATAATTTACTGGAAAATTAACAAGTTCAAATTCAAAGTTTATTGGCATTAAGCAAAAACATTTGCCTTTGTCCATTTACAAATACAATATATATCATTATGGCAAAGACAATTCATGTGATATAAATACAAACAAACATAAATATATGTACAATAATGATATTCACGATCAGTAGACATTTATATGTCAAAAGTATCTGTACGCAAAGATAAAGCATTCCTTTTGAATTTTGCAAGGTTTAATATGGTTTTCCTATTCATTGACATTAAAAATTTTAATTATTAAATCTGTGCACGGTTGGCCATGAGCTTTGTTCGAGATATTTTGATCTCAGATCTCTGTATATTGGACGGCATAAAACAAAATGATATTCGTTTTCAATTAAATTTTGACAACATATATTACAATTTCTATTAATTAATTCTATCAACATGGTTGTTTCTACCAGTCTGTACAACATCACAGCTGAGTCGTAGTTTTTGTTAAAGCCTTTCATTTAACATTGTACAAAATCTCTATTTCAATTTCAGGTCTAGAGATTTACATTGTGTATTATATTTATACAGCTTATTTGTATTGGTTTCAGAGTTCCTGAATATGTGAGGATAGTGAATGCAACCTGTCGGAATGTGGTTATTTATTATGATAAGATTTATTCTTTCCTGTTGTATGTTTGCAGTAAATACTGATCTTTCGAAATGTCAGAGATATTTGATCTGATCTAAAATATTCTAAAACAATATGCAGAGAATTTTGTTAAAACTCGAAACAAATATGAATAAATGTATTTTATTTGTATGCTAAGAGATAACTTTGTTATATTGACAAGAAAAATGATGACATAACGTGACTTTTAGGTGAAATACATAATATATGAATTAAGAACTCGTGAGTAGAATTTAATAACACATAAGAAAGCGTTTGAAGTCCTAATTAGTCTAAATACAGTAAATAGGAGTTCCTGAGTCCTTGTTAGGACTTAGTCCAATAATGGTTTTTAAAATATTGATAGGAGTTTAAAGTATTTTTAAAGCTCTATATGAGAAGATAGTTTTTGATTTTGTATAGATTTGGCACCAGAACTCTTCCGTAATTTTGGCTTTTCGTGACTTCTTTCTTTCATATATAGTTTGAAAATCATTGTGTGCACACCGGGGTTCATTTAAGGTACATACATTTTAAAGCAAAGTATTGTAAAATGAACAAAGGAAGTAATTTACGCATTGCAAATGACACTTCAAATCCATGTAAATTGACCAAAAAAAGGCAAAATAAGCACACACAAGAAAAGAAAAGAAGCCCTTACAGAGTAAGTCGTGCAGTAGAAATATGGTGATAAACACTGCAAAATCAGCCATAAATTAAACACTGCAAAATAAGCCATTAATCGAAATTTACATATAAACGAATACTTGAATCTTGATCGTGATGGTGTTGGTAGTTTTCACTCCGGATCACGACAATAAGGCACATTGAATTCACCAGAGCACAGTTCAACCACCGCATCTTGAATCAATTGTTTTTTTTTTTAAATCTAAGAACATTTTTATCACGTTTGATTTTCTTGAAATATTTTGACTCACATGGAGGAATACAGCGTTAAGTAAACGATGCTGCGTACATGCGTTCAAAATCTGGAACATTTTTTTATTGTAAATTAACTTGAATAAGCATATTTGTAATGCTCACTGTACCGAACATGATCTATACAGGTACGTTTCAACTTCCAACCTTTATTTTTGTGGCTTATTGATATTAGGCGAATGTGCATTTTTTACATCAAACGGAGATTTTTAAAAAAAAGATGCAAAAGAAATGTAAACTTCAGTAAATCACTGATAGACACAGTTTTTTTATGTTTTATCTTACAGTTTCTGACATTGATTTATTATTTCTCATAAACATTTACTAAGGTCCTCCCAAAAAAGAGAGACTTTGCTTCAAGTTGCATGCCTTCAGACGAGCCAAACTATTTATAATAAAATCCTTAGAAAAAAGTACTAGGATTTTAGAGGAAAAGTAAAAAGGTTTAAGTAATAATTTACATGTTATGGTCGATTTTAATGATTTATTTTCTAGTATTATAACCATATTTCTACTGCGTTATTAACGCAATAAAGGTTGTATTTGAATATTTTGACCTCATATTTTGGTAATTTTCGTGGGTTTTGAGTGCTGTTTGTAATGTGTAAATTGCTTCCTTTTGCTAACTTCACAATATTTTACATTTTCAAAATCTTCATAAAAATTAGCATGAATCTGGAGGAGTGCTGCGTTAACAATTATAAAACTTCTATATATCATGTTTAAAATAACTTAGTTTTATTCATTCATTAGCACCGGCTTGATTTTTATCAATGGTAATGTACTTATAATTGTCTTTATATTACCTCTAAGCAATGTACTTTATTTTACTCTATTGAATTTGTTTATCATTATTTAAAAAGGAAATCAGCTTATGAGCCAGTTCGTGATAACACACACTTAAAAAGTTCGATCGAATGACAAAACAGTAAGTAAATGCTATTTTTATGTCAATGACCCAAATTATACAATATATCATGACAAACTCCCAAGCGGTTCAAGTGATACTGAGCGGACACGATATTGTACGTGGACCGATGCTTCGAATGACTGAAACAAAAGAGCCGTGTCACGACAAAACCAACATAATGGCTTTGCGACCAGCATGGATCCAGACCAGCCTGCGCATCCGCGCAGTCTGATCAGGATCCATGCTGTTCGCTTACAAACCCTATTACAAGTAGATAAACTGATAGCGAACAGCATGGATCCTGATCAGACTGCGCGGATGCGCAGGCTGGTCTGGCTCCATGCTGGTCGCCAACCCATTATGTTGGTTTTGTCATGACGCGGCTCAAATATTGATGAATAAAATCTACAAACCATCCAGATTTTTCTGTTTACAAAAAAGCAATTCCAGGTTGACAAGATTGTTTGCAATTAGTGATTTAAAGATAAATAAATAAAATAGATGTTTCGAGAATATTGTTTCTAAACTTCTAAACTAATCCAAAAACATCGAAACAAAAAGTATATACTAGTATCTATATAGAGCAATAATAGGTTTAAACAAATTCTGTAGGGATTTTATGTTACATGAATATAGACTCCACTGTCACATGACATATGTATTGCCGGTTGCATTGGAAGTAACGAATGCCTCAAATACTTTTTGGGAAATATAGACTTGTTTGTTATTCCTAAAGGAATATTACACCATATCTCCTGGAATAGAATAAATAAAAACGGAATCCTTAAAAAAAACTCCCAAAATGACAAAATTGAAAATTTTGCAGGCCGAGTTAATTCATGGACGGTAGTGTTAATCGCAAATGGTGAACATTTTGAATTTAGAAACATACGCAGATGTGAGTGTGTTAATATATAAACAAGATAAAGTTTTGATATATTTCCTTTCACATTGAACATAAAGAGGTATTCACAATATGTGAAAATTGATCACATATCATAAGGAAGCAGTGTGTCGGCAAGGCCGAGTGGTTATCGCGTTGGACTTGTAACTTAAGGATTGCTGACGGCGTAGATTCAAACCCCGTCAGTGGCAAACCATTGTTTCCTCCAACAAGAAACTTTACACTTATTGCTAAATACTGGTTAGTTCCAGGACGGATTTGGGTCTAAGAATGACGTTTTATTCATAAATCAACTGTGATGAGAAATACAGTATAAATAATTCTTTTGGGCAATTTGAAATATTTAGGGTGCTCTTTGCATCATTGTTTGTATAAAAAACTTATATTTTTCTTTTCCATACCATGATGTAAATTCGATGCACATTACTTTTTCATAATTATTTTTTCCTCATAATTGTGTTCTTACATACCCATGGTTTGAATTTTTAAACTGGTCTACGTCAGTATTACTTTTTAATTGATTCTGTCTTCATTAATCGTAATAAAATTATTTACAAACCCCCTATCATTTTGCCCGAGTGATTAATCGATTTTCTTTCTACTTAATACTAATACTTGAATTTAAGCATTTCACAATGTACTTTTGTTTACACCAAAATCACGTTGAAGTCCATTTCCTCTTGTCACCGATTGACAACAAATCGTCTCTTTCCCGTCGTTCTTTGGTTTAGGGATTATGACTTCGAACAAACACCAGTTAGAAACAGCATTAGCTGTAGAACTACACTACAAAAATTTAACATGAAATCAAGTAACAAGGCCTTGAACCATTTTATTTCTTATGCATCGTGTAGAAGATTTAATAGATATAAACTCAAAGATATGAAAAATAATATGTACATATATTTCTGTTGACTAAAATTGTAATGATATTCTTACGAACCATATAAAGAAATGACATATAAACGTCTTACAGGTTGATAATATTTCAAATTTTATTTAGATTTTACATAATATTGATCAATTATCGGAAGAAACGTTACTTTTGTCCAGATGTTCAATACATTTTAATGTTACTTAATGAAAAGATAGCATGTTTTTGAAACTCACATGGTGGTACTACTTCCATTCCTTCTTTTACGAGTTAATTATTTGTAAATGGGCGAGGTGTTGCAAATAAGATATAAATGACAATGATTTATACTTATACAGAAAGATTCATGTTAGTTAGTGACATTAAAATGCCCAAATCTTTCCACGAGCACGCACCAATAGATTATTTATAGATTCCAAAATTTGTCAAGACTTAAAATGGGTAACTTCAGATAAAAGGCAATGCTTTCAACTCCATCAGAGGATTGACCTTTCTTGTAGAGGTTACACCCATATTTGTAAGATTCGTAAGATTCAAAAAGATACAGTCAAAGTTCAATAAAATACGTAGAACCCAACACACGACACGAAAAGTACAACTTTGTGAGCTATATAAAAACATCATAAAAAGTATTATAAATACTCGTACAATGATGACATAAGTAATCGGAGTACAATGGAAAAGAATGCAAATATAGGTACGTGAACATTTCTAAAAGCGAAGAAGTATCACTAAAATATGATAAACAAGATCAACAAGGAAAGGCAGCGTTCAATGAACGCAAGCCCCCTACGACCCAGCAACTATGAAGGCTGAACATGGAGGGGGACACCAACACTGAACGCCGAACAATCTCTTGAGGATGAAAATATAACAATACCTGTGTGACTAACAATCAAAGCGGCCACAGAACATTTTTGTTTGTTACAGTCAAATAAACTCTTGGAAAACTTAAAGAATAATAATTAAAACATTACAATTATAACCAAGTTGAAATCTTAAAGAACTTAATTAAATCAGGTGCAATGTATATAAAAGTAATTAAAGCACCACGTGCATAGTATACATGTTGTAAAATGTATAGTGACAGAACCACACGTGTAGTAGAGTGACAGTCGGAGCAACAATAGTTCATTTTCTGGGAATAATTGTCAAAGATCCAAAAACAAGGCTCTGAAATACAAAAACGCGTTCAAAGCAACATCAGTTTGGAACACTTAAACAATGAAAGCTTCATCAGTTATGAAATTTTATTTTTTTATCGTATTTATTCATTTAATTTCTTATTTATTTGAATAGATAATTGATGTTTATTTTATTTTATCTAATAAAGTCCCATAATTATATGCAGTTAGCAATATGACTGTGCATAGCCTATAAGGGGGAGAACTCTTCAACCTAAAATGAACGTATGTGTACGGCATTTGTCTAAAATTTGGTATAAAAACAGCTTTTTGTTTGTTTGTTTTTCTTGTGCGTATTTTTTTATGTTGTTTTGTCCTTTTTTTTTTTTAGAAATTTAGATATATATTTGAGAGCCAATTCAGGAAACCCTGTAATGCTTTAACTTATTTGGTTCGTTGAGCTTTAACCTTTTCAATTTGGTTATACTAACGAATCCACAATAAATTGCCCGGATGATTCTGTTTGCTTACTGCCAATTTAATTGTACTTATTTTGGTTTGGGTAGTTCTTATGATGTTTTCATTATACTCAGAGAGTACGTTGTACTTGTGGTAGTTTGTTACTCAATAATTTGTATACATTGTGTTTTAATCTGTTAATAAACTTTATGGTGTTTTGAGAGTAACTGTCCATGATTGAACTTATGGTGTTTTTCTGCAATTCATTTTCCTATGTGTTATACGCCTGACGGTGTTTTGACTGTTACTTTCAATGACTTGTATTTATGGTGTTTTTATCTGTAACTCATTTTCCAATTAATCAATGACTTGTATTTATGGTGTTTAATCTGTTACTCATTTTCCAATTAATCAATGACTTGTATTTATGGTGTTTAATCTGTTACTCATTTTCCAATTAATCAATGACTTGTTTATCTATTACTCATTGATGATTTTACGGTGCTTTGTCCGTTATTCATCGTGCTGTGTGCTTTGATTGTTATGGCGTTTCGAGTATAACTCATTGAGATGAGCTTATAGTGTTTAATTATTAATCGAGTTATTTGTAGTGATATCATTATAATGTTTTGACTGTTATGCATTAAATTAAATTAAATTGACTGTTTCTGCTTGATGCCATTGCTATCCATGCTGATGCAAATGTGTGTCATATTTACATCACTAGATTAGGGGTAGCAGTGTTAGTGAAGGATTGTAGTGTTTTATACGCCTTTCGTGATTAAAAACATCAGTGTCTACACACGTTACATAGAACCGTATTTATTGGTACGGGTTTCCATATTTACAAAAAACAAACACAATTTTATATATAGTATTTAATTTCCTGATTTTGTTCGTCACGCCGACACAGTATTGGTCATTTGACGACGTTCCAGCTTTACTGGTGGAGGAAGACCTCAGGTGCCCTTCCGTGCATTATTTCAGGCACGAACGGGTACCTGAGTAGAACCACCGATGTTCCGTAAGCTAGCTGGATAGCTTCCTCACATGGAAGAATCTAAAGTCCCTGTTGGGAATTGAACCCACAGTGGTGAAGGGCAAATTTAATATGGTTTGAAGTCAACGACCTTAACCACTCGGCCACGGACATTTAACGTCCTAAAAATATATGTAATTTGTAGATATTAACTATACAATTTTTCAGCAAGCTTTACTTATAAATGTGTCTTCTGTTACAATCTGAATAGTGTTGGAAGAAATAAACGGCCAACCACAACCAAAAGTAACATTTTGTAGTAGCAAACAGTTCTGATGTTTAAATCTAAGAAAGTTGGTAAACCAAATTCTTTCATATTCCATTTTTTCTGTTACTATTCAATGCCTGCGACACAAATTTTGAAAACAAAACAGTAAGAACACCACTGATTATAAAATGCTTGAAATAATAAGAATTTAGACATCGATTTAGGCAGAGAAATTAAACCGTTATCGTTTTCAGGCAGTGAAAGCTGATTTGAATATATTTATGACGGTTATGACAGCCACAATACCGGTAACAAAATTATTTTGTCTGTCTGCGCTCTTCTGCGCGGCCTCATTTTCCCATTTATTTAATCCGAGCTTTACCAATGCGATAGCAAGTACAATCTGCAAGACAATTGAAATGGTGATCAAAACGATATTTAGGTAGAAGTAGTTATGACAGGAACCTTGACTTATGGTTGTCTTTAACTGCATTGCGTTAGACGTTAGAAGGCCGATGTTTAGAAGACCCTTCGATACGGTTTTCTTTGTAGCATACCAATTTAAGTTAATTGACATCTTGTTCTCCACCTTAAATGGAAAGAAATGTTTATTACTGTAAAATTGAAAGAAACGTTTGTTACAGTAAAAATGTAGGAATTATGCTTGGTGTGTAAAAACAACAAAAAGGAAAATATATTGGAAATACGCAATTGTGTTCCAGTTCATTTAATAACGGACACGGCGACTTAAAACTAGTATTAAGTTAAAGAAGAAAGAAAAAGAAAGAAGATTTTTTTATTTAACTTTTACCTTTACATGTATCTCGTTAAACATCAACTAGTCATACATATAAAACATTTTGTCATGGTTGGTATTCAAATGTAATAGAATAATAAATGTTTCAGTTTATACAATATGGAAAATAAGTTCTAATAAGTATGAAATTAGATATTGAATAACAGTAAATAAACAGTGAATAAAATGAACATTGTTATTGTCTAGGATATAAATTCAATTAATCATTTCTTTTCAAATTGGCCAAATACTAGTAAATAAATTTGCTAAGATTGTTTATAACTGATTAGTTGCTTGACCTAAGCATATCTATGAATTTGTACATGCTTGGTCTATGATATAAATGACTTTTAATTCATTCTTAAATCATTGTAAACACTGCATATAAGAATAAAATGATACTCGTCTTCAATCTCAGAGCATTTACATAATTGGCATAATCTTTTCTGTCTATCTATTCTTTTCCTACCATATCTACATGTTTGAATTCTAAGATAATGCGAAGAAATTCTTACACGTATAATACTACTCCTTAAATATTTAAATTTGATAGTTTTTAATAAATTTCAAAATTCAAATCTGTTTTGAGATGATAAAGAGTGTTTAAAACATTATTATAGTTTAAAATGCTTGCCATTTTTGCTGAAATCAATCGGAACTATTTCTTTAAAATGTATCAAAAATGCATTTTTAATTTTATATTTATGTCATTTGGTTTCAAAAATACATCTGCAAAACTGTTTTTTTTTTTCTAAAAATATTTTAACATTGGCAATTTTTTGACACCATTTAAACATTGTTTTAATGAATTATTATATTATTTAAAATAACATTGTTTAATGAATTATTATATTATTTGAACCCATATTATCATTAGAACATAATGTTTATATTTTTTTGAACATAATGTTTATTTCTTGCATGTCAGACAGGATTATCTAGCGTTTACACCGGTGCTAGAAAACTCAGTCTTACACCCCCCATGTAAGACAAGTCGCGTGTTTTAAATGACGTCATTGACGCGAGCCTTTTATGAATGAATCGCGTTCTTAGGATGACGTCATTTTTCCGTTATGAATGAAGTTGTAAGTTCATACGCTACTATAAGAAAAAAGTGCGTAATGAGAGTATCAGTTTTCATAATTTCTTTTCCGAAAATAATTGACATGTAATATGTAAGAAAAAGAATCAAACACCGGCTGTTGGTACAAACCGGAATATCTAGCTCTCGGGTAACTGTTTAGCGGAAACTCGGTAGAGCCTCGTTACCGCCGTAAACAGTTACCCTCGAGCTAGATATTCCGGTCTGTACTGACAGCCGGTGTAAGATTCTTATAATATAAAGGGTATCTTCCTAATTCTCCGTATACAGCACTATTGTACACTTTTTATATCTTTTGACTTAGAAAATTCACAAACAGGACATGCATAATTTAGAATAGAAGCAACAAAAGAATCAAACAAGTGTTAAGAAATAATTGTTGACAATAGATCTACTACCTTATTGATAACATGACATGCTTTTAGGGTTTCTCCAACAATATATAGACAAGTTTGCTTCTTTAAAAAGAAGCATGCGAGAGGCCTTTTTGCTGCTGTGGAAGATTTGTTTAATTTGAAAATATTTGGAAATAAGACACAACGAATGGTTATAAATTACAATGATTTAACAAAATATAATTTATTATATAAATTGAATATATAGTATCATAATGAAAGTTTGTTTACACTTCATTTTTTAATGTTTTGAAAGATTATATGCTGGAGAAATGGATTTTTTTCACCCCTAGCAAAGGCTAATTCAAAACATGAAATGGTGAAAATTAGAAATATTCACATATGTCTGAATATATCACGAAACCTTCAATGTGACACGAACCGTGAAAAGCGACGAATGGTCCCTAAGTAAAAAGTATGCTTTGCCCTTAACGAAAAAACAATGAGAATATAATTTGACAGGAGATCAGAGGCTATGAAACAGTCAAAAGACCCATTTTAAAAGCAGGCAATATCCTATGGGCAATAATACAGTATTCAAGTAGGAGTACTGAAACCATTCAACTAGAAAAATGTCAAATAGAAGAAAGGAAAAACATTTTCATATTTCGACCATAAGGCTGATGATCCCCCGTTAATGAAAGAACATATAGTAATTAACTAGTAGGCGATCAGCCATCTTTCACAGTTTTCTTGTAAGGAGCATAACTCATTGTAACTGGTAGGAGTACAAAGTGTAAGAACTATAACTCTGCCTAGTCCTAAGAAAATCAGTAGCGTAGGAACATAGAAATCAACAACAACAACAACAACGTAAAGGTTGGCACCAAAGTGTTGCATTTTAATTCTTAAATCACTATATTATAAATATTTACACAAATTCTCTCTTAGGGAGAGAGTTAAAGTGTTAATGACCTCTTTAATTTGAGGTTCAAAAGCCTAAAACATAAAAGTAACGCTTATTTACTTTAAATGAAAAAAAATCCAAAAGATAATAAAGAAATATACCCAGATCTAAACTGAACGAATCTGATTCAAATTTGAATTAAAATTGTTGCAACATTTTTCATGTGTAGGTAATTTTGCACCATAAAAATTTATTCTGAAAAAAAAAAGGTGAACGCATGATCTGAAATTTTGCAAAAAAATTATTGGTACAGACCTATATCAAATGATTCTCAAATGTCAAAGAATTATTTTAAATTTTTCTTAAAACAAACAAACAAAAAAGCAACCATAAAAAACAACACCTAAGCAGACACATAACAGCTACTGGTAAAGTGAAATGTATAATAGAAATAAAATTAAACGGAACTAAACAAAATATAATCAATTATTCTAACTCACCTTACCGCCTTCGTTCGTTCCGTATAATGTAACTCTACTATTCGAAGATGACATACTTCTTTTGTAAACAAATACACTTGTTATGACTTTAAAACACCTGTATTATGAACTTTAAATCATCTAGTTCTCAGATCAGTTGCTTCAAATAAAATTGTATTTTTCTTGTTTTTGTTATGATAACAAAAATCAACAATCGTATTGTATATAAAGTCTCTATTACCTCATTTAAAAGTGCTTTGAAACAAAGTGACTTGTAATTAATTTTGTTTTAATAATTTAAATTTTTAAAATAATGAATAAACATTTTTAGTGATGTCAATACGGGGGCCCGAATTCACTATCAGGATACCCGGGATCAGACACCCAAATTTACTTTCCGGGATTTTTCAAAACATTTTTTCAGACAGATCCGTTAATATGACAAAACCTTTTTTTTTTTCGGGGCCCTTTTTAAATTTTCATTTTTTTTTCATTTTTTAAATTTGGCAAATGGGGGCATATTTAAAACATCCCGGGTGGGCCCCAAATTTAAAAAAAATACTTTTGCCCGAATAGGGCCAAAACATTTTTAACAACAATTTTTCCCAGGTAAGCATATAAACAAAATAAGCAAACATGTAATTTTTCAAGTTTAAAAGAAACTTTGTTTTTTTAACATATTTCCCTTTAAAATTTTAAAACCAATATGTTTTTTGCATTTTTTAAAACGCTTACTTTTACCTCAAGACACGATATTAACAAATTTCTGTACATTGGGCCATGAACAATTACCCAAATATTTAGCTCTCAAATCAACATATGCAGGACAAGTTAATAGAAAGTGATACTCTGATTCAATCATTCTTGTATTACACATTTAACAGATTCGTTCGTCTCTTTGTGAACCACTAAATCTTTCGAATTCAATTTCTATGTTGTGAGAACACATTCTGAAACATTTTAAACATTTTCGTAATTTATCATTTCTTATTATGCTCAGTTAACTTTCATAACCAAAACACATTAATATTTTAATATGATAGTACGACGTTATTCTGCTCTTTAAAATTGATTGTTTCCTAACAAATCGTTATTGGCCCTAACCTTAAATCTTCACGAAAGAATATAATTGTTTTAAAGTGTATCGTAAATATAAAAATAAAATGTGGACATAATAGTTATTTTCCTAGTTTATGCCTTAATTATGCCTATTCTTTATAAAAGAATGACAACTCTTCCAGAACTACAGAAGATTTTCACATTGAATTAAAAATAAAGCTTTATTTGCTAGTCAGATATAGTAACGCTAATCAGGGAAACTTGAAGTATTTCGCCGGTTTTAAGCCTTCTCATAATAACACAATGTAAATGGTTAATATTTTATTGACATGTATAGTATTATTTAAGAAAAATAAAAGCTCACAAATTTATTTCAATTCTTTTTCAGTCTAATATATATCAACACATATGTAACACACTTTAAATATTTTCATACATATACATGACACATCTTAAAGCAAGTTGCAAAAAGTCCATAAAAAATTAAAGTAAATCTCTGACATTTCAAATGAACTTTGTACTTCATATTTCTTATGCAGCTTATAATCAGATAACAGTTTTTCAGTGATCAAGTCTATTACATTCTGACAGTCTCCTCATCGGACACAGTCAATATTCACAATTCTCATCTCAATGATATTTTTCTCCCCGTTTTTTTTGGCAAATGTGGGAGCTGGGAATTTTTTGTTTTAATTTTAAAAAATTAAAAAGAAAACAATCCACTTGACAATCTTTTTCAAAATTTTTTTTTAAAACCAAAACTACGGCAGAGAAAAAAACGCCCCAAACCCAAAACAGAAATAGCGGGAACGAAAGCCCCGCGCCCCTGAAAAATTTGCGTTTTTTTGGACACGATACGTCATTTCATCATTTTTTCCACCAATCGAAAAGTTCGCAGTCCAGAGAAGGTTTGTCAGCGACATAACTTGCGATTTTTTCACATTCTTCGTCGTCGTTTTCAAATTTGCAGAAGTTTAGTTTACGACGTTTGGGACGTTGGGTTTACCTTCTATTAACCTTTTGAGCATATTGCGAAAAATGGCAGTGTTCATTGAAAAGCCTCCTGTTACAAGTTCAAACTGCTATCGAAACTGTAAAAAATCTTTCAATACTGATCAAAAATTGGGACAATTTTGACAATTGCCCCTGACATGGACGCTTTTTATTGCCTTTGTAAAAGAAAACATGCTGCATTCTGGGAAATTAAATCCCTGTTAGATAATATGGCAACGAGGGACGTTACTCCCCCCAAAATTTCGATTGGGGTGGGGTGCTGCCCCCTTTCAAATCCCCCAAATAGAAGGGGGGCCATTCCCCCCCTCTGGATCCTTTTTTTAGTGCCTTTTTGATAGGGGGCGGGGGGGGCCCAAATTTTTGAGGGACTTGTTTGGAAAAATTTCAGTGTTTGGGCCTTAATAGGGGATTTTTTTTTACTATTTTAAGCCTCAAAAAAGGGGAAAAACGAAAAAGCCGTCAAAAAAAACGCCTAAAATGACAAAAAAATAATTTACAAATTTTTTGGAATTTAACCCCCAAAATCGGGGGGTTTTTTTTTTTCCCTATTTACACCCGGCCTTACCATACTTTTGGTGAAATATTGGTTTTTTTGGGGGCATTTTTTTAATGTTTTTTTAAATTTAAAAAAAACTTCTTTTAATAAATTTAAAAACATATAGGGCTCCTTAAACATTTTTTTTTTTTATAACCCAAATTTTATTCACAAGTAAATTAAAAGGGATTGCCCCCTGAGTCCAAGACCCACACTTCCCCAAGGGCTGGTTTTCACAAGGCACAGGGCTTATTTTTGAGTGCTAGGGTTTTTTTTTCTTTTTTATTTCTTTTGATCCACTAACTTTCAAGATATAAATAAAATACCTTATACTTGTGTATCAATATCACTGAAAAACAGTATATAAAGTGCATTGAATTTCTTAAAATTCACCATATTCTATAGACAGCAGTTAAAACACAATTTGTCTGATATTGCAACAAAACATCCGTTTTGGTACAACTTTAGAGTGTCTTCTTTGCACTAAGTAAGCACCAAAGTCCTAACCCAAACAATATGTCCGGGAGATTTCCGCATGGCATGACCATTTTTTAGAACGGAGTTTTGTTCTTTGTCTATATAAAGTGCACAATTTTTCGTAAAATACATCATATTCTAATAGCCAACCGTTTAAACACCATTTGTCTGATTCTGTTGCAAAATTCTTTTTTGTACAACTTTTGAGAGTGTTCTTCTTGTGAACCAAAATGAGCAACAAAGCCCTAACCGAAAAAATTATTCCATGCCAAATTTCCGCGATGGCATGGCCATTTTTTGAACCGCGCGATTTGTCCTTTTCTATATAAAGTATCGTAAATACACCATTTTCTATAGCCAACTGTTAAAAACACCAATTTGTCTGATTCCGTTGCAAATTCGTTTTTTGTACAACTTTTTGAGGGTTCTTCTGTGTACAAAAATGAGCAACAAAGCCTGAACCGAAAAATAATTATTCCAGGAAATTTCCGCGTGGCATGGCCATTTTTTGAACTGGCGATTTGTACTTTGTCTATATAAAGATCGTAAACACCTTTTTCTATAGCCAACCGTTTAAAACTATTTGTCTAATTCCATTGCAAAATCGTTTTTGTGCAATTTCCGAGTGTCTTCTTTGCACAGAATGAGCGCCAAAGCCATAACACAAACAATTTTTCTAGGAGATTTCCGCGTGGCATGGCCCTTTCTTGGACCGGCGATTGCTATTTCCGATATTTACGTAGATCAACTAAAAATTCCAAACCGATTCATGAAGACAATAACCTCTTGAAATTGTGTTTAACATTATTTTGATCGATTACATCTGCATAGAGCATGATCTTACATTAATTGTCGTCATATACAGTTAGCCATTGTGAAATGAACGCTACGTACTTTGAAAAAATAAGTGGAATAATCAAGTTAATTGTGATGGTTCAGACCATTTTCTTCACAACTATTTAAGGCTAAAAATTCTAGGTATCGCAAAGAAAATGATAGCAAGAGGTCCGCTTAAAAAGGTCCCTGTTTTGGACCGAAGATTAGCTCTCTAAGTATATAGGTTTAAGAAATTTCGTAAAAAAATACAATATTCTAGAGCCAACCGTTTAAAAACTATGTGTCTGATGCTGTTGCAGATTCGTTTTTGTACATCTTTGATATGTTTTTTCTGCAAAAAATGGGGACCGGAGCTCTTACCCAAACAATATGTCCGAGAGATGTCTGCATGACATGGCCATTTAATGGACCGGCGTTTTGTTGTTTCTCTATATAAAGTGCATTACATTTCTTAAAATTCCCTATATTCTATAGCAAGCAGTTAAAACACCATTTCTCTGATTGCAATAAATATTCGTTTTTGTACAACATAAAAGAATCTTCTTTGCACTAAGAGAGCACCAAAGTCCTAACCCAAACAATATGTCCGGGAGATTTCCGCATGGCATGACCATTTTTTAGAACGAAGTTTTGTTCTTTGTCTATATAAAGTGCACAAAATTTCGTAAAATACATCATATTCTAGAGCCAACCGTTTAAACACCATTTATCTGATTCCGTTGCAAATTCGTTTTTGTACAACTTTGGATGGTCTTCTTTGCATAAAATGAGCATCGAAGCCCTAACCGAAAAAAATATTTCCAGGAAATTTCCGCATGGCCTGGCCATTCTTTGGACCGACAATTTGTTCTTTTTCTATATAAATTTTCGTAAAATACACCATTTTCTATAACAAACTGCTACAACACCATTTGTCTGATTCCGTTGCAAATTCGTTTTAGTACAACTTTGGAGGGTCTTCTGTGATCAAAATGAGCAACAAAGCCCTAACCGAAACAATTATTCCAGGAAATTTCCGCGTGGCATGGCCATTTTTTGAACCGGCGATTTGTTCTTTGTCTATATAAAGTATCGTAAAATACACCATTTTCTATAGCCAACCGTTAAAACACCATTTGTCTGATTCCGTTGCAAATTCGTTTTTGTACAACTTTGGAGGGTCTTCTGTGAACAAAATGAGCAACAAAGCCCTAACCGAAACAATTATTCCAGGAAATTTCCGCGTGGCATGGCCATTTTTTGAACCGGCGATTTGTTCTTTGTCTATATAAAGTATCGTAAAATACACCATTTTCTATAGCCAACCGTTAAAACACC